TAGTTGCTGTCTTTGCGTGTGTGTATTAATACAAGTGAAGTTCAAGGATGACTTGCGGCAAAGGTGCCCATTTGCATCCCACTATAGTGAATCCCACACACGGGTTTTGCGATACAATTTACACAAATTATATATTTTTTTAAAACTTTAATGTTAATATTCGCGATGTGATAAATGTAGTATTCCCTCGCATAATAAGTGTTGGTACCAGTTATAGCCTACATCATAATATATATTAGATATAAGTATATAACCATATAACTATATAGGCTACATGTTATAATACACTAATACCTAATACTATATATACAGAACGATTTAATCGTAATAGTTAACATACAAATCGTTCACTACATAAGCTCTTTATTACAGTCACTTATTTTCATGTAAGTAGGTAGGTACCTAAAACAATATCCACTGGACCTTTTTGACGATTAACATAAACTTCCTATGGAAATTGTGAACAACCCCAATTACGTTCGCGTAAAGGGAGGTAATACGTTTCGATAATGATATGCACCGAAAAAAGCAATTGGATGCGATTCCCTCTTATATTTCCAACCTGAACCTAACCTCTTATATTCCATATTTCGATCTTAATCTGTTTTGTGTATCTACATTCTACATCCTCTAAGACTCGCTACATAGGGTGTAATAGATTGAATAGTTTCCAATCCGATGTATTATCCTTGAGGTGAATATTTGACATCCAACCGAGCGTTAAGAGTAGACCAAGGACAGTATAAGTAATCCAGAAACATTATTGAGATAAATGACAAGAAATAAAAACTATCTTTATTGTTTTTATAGATCGTTTATGATAGATTTTTTTCAACGTTCTTTTTGTATAGGTACTATTTAAACATCTCATTGTTTACACTAAATTATTTATTTAATTTTTTTCATTAACTACAACCTTGACTTATTTTAAAATGTCACACTTAAAATATTGTTATAATCTAATTTATAGCTAAGATATCAATTACATAAATACGCGTTGTTAAGAAACAGAAAAACATAAAACTCTAGCAGTTGATTCCAGAGCTAAAAACTTTCACGATACATGTTGACCGATAATATTAGCCATCTCACTCTTTCTCTCAATTAACGATGCGATAATCGATAGCGAATCTTAAGGTAAAACCGGTTAAGTGCACGCGTATATTGGAAACTCAAATTAAATATACAACAAAACAAACCATGGTTGTAAATCCTAGACTTATCAATGAATAT